GGAGTGGGGGCTCATTTTTGATTTACATCCATCTCTCCATAAAAAGACCGGGACTTTGACCGAGTATATTAAAATATTGTGTAATACTTTATCAACCCCGTAGAAATGACGTAGGAAGGGGGTGGGGGCGGTCCAGAGGCGTAGCGTAGTGGGGGCAGGGGGGACAGATGTCCCCGGGCGCCAGCTAGTTAGGGGTGCCAAAATGTGCTTTGATATTATTTTACTGATGAAAATAATGGGTTTGAGAGTTGAAAAAAAGAAAAAGGGGCGCTAAAAATGAATCTTGTCCCCGGGCGCGAATCTTGTCCCCGGGCGTCAAACACCCTCGCTACGCCACTGGGGCGGTCTGTCCGCCCCTGGCACCAATTTCTTGTCCGGGAGGGGGGGGGTAGGGGGGTGTGGCGTCATTTTCGTCCAAGTGCGACGAAAAGAATGGGATTTGCAGGGATTAAAAAACGCAAGGCATATTTTATTTGATGACCAATTAATGCTGATTCTAGTGAGATAAAACCACTGGAAAAAATGTTCGGTTCTATACGGGGGCGTGATCAGACCAAATATTCTGACCCAGTTCTAAGGAAATAGTGGGACCAAAAAGAAAAAAAAGGAGTGGTGTTTTCTTTACAAGAAAAGGGGGGGGGGCGTGACAAGAAGAAGAGAGAGAGAAAAAGGTCAATTCAGGCCTCTGGTGGCTGGAACAACATTGGCCTACCCTAAAACAGAAAAATAGTAGCTTGAGCCTTCCTCGGCACACACACATTCAGTTAAAATGTAGCCTATAATAGAGAGAGAGAGAGTGTGTGTGTGTGTGAGAGAGAGAGAGAGAGAGAGAGAGAGAGAGAGCAATACAACTTCCAGAAGTTAGGACACGGAAGAAGCAGCCATTTAAGAAACACTAACCATTTAAAAGATTTTCTTTAAATGCGGCCATTGTGATTGTATGGTATAGGTCAATAGGTGATATGAAACAGTATATATGCTATACGTCAATAGGTGTCAGGTAAAAAAAAATATCTAGATAAATAATTTACTTATTTACTTGGCCGCGTTACATATATACTTGTTGTTGGGGGGGGGGGGGGTTGTCTGCTGATGTGCCACTGAATTCTCGAATGTTTTAAGTCATATTTCCACATCATTATCATTTTAATCCCGTGGTCATTTTAGATACGGCATACGAGAAATTTCCAAGTCTACGGCCCAATGACTATCTACGAATTTAAAATGAGGCCCTTGCTTAGTTTGACGTCAGGCAGACCTGCTGTTGGGGGGTGGGGGGGGGGGTTTGTACTTTTAGACATCAAGTCCACCACTGCTGCATGCTGCTCTGATCGATGAGGAAAAACTTAAGCCAATCGATATCCGTAATTGCACAATACCAGGGTTTTGGTTTCAGTTTGAAACGACCCCCCCCCCCCTTTTTTTTCTGATATGTAGAGGGGGGAGAGAGGTTGGGAGGGGTATGTGTTAAATAGTCTTCATAGGTTGTCCTTCTTGTCTATAGGCGCCATATGTTGTCTTTCTGTTCTATGGGCGTCTGGGGTAATGTTTCTTTTCTATGGGCGTCTGGGGTAATGTTTCTTTTCTATGGGCGTCTGGGGTAATGTTTCTTTTCTATGGGCGTCTGGGGTAATGTTTCTTTTCTATGGGCGTCTGGGGTAATGTTTCTGTTCTATGGGCGTTTGGGGTAGTGTTTCTGTTCTATGGGCGTCTGGGGTAATGTTTCTGTTCTATGGGCGTCTGGGGTAATGTTTCTTTTCTATGGGCGTCTGGGGTAATGTTTCTGTTCTATGGGCGTCTGGGGTAGTGTTTCTGTTCTATAGGCGTCTGGAAAGCTTCTATCCTATTAGGGGCAGGAAAAAAGGGGGAAGCGGGGCGTGGTTATGATCTATTGGTGTTTGAGTGGGGGTTTTGTTCTAAGACGACGCAGAGGTCTTCTGTTCTATTCGCTTTTGATTTGGTCTAGTACTCTGCAGGCTTTTTTTTTTTTTGCGGGGGGGGGGTGGGGGGGGTAGGTGGGGCTTCTGTTTCGCGTTGTTCCAGGGGCAACCTTTATTAACACAACTGTCTTTGTAGACATGTGTATCCTTGTGCAATACACGATATATTCAAAGTCACGAGCTGAGTTTTTCCTTGTGTACAAGTCCATGTATGTCTGTGTGTGTATACCTGCGTGTCCATGTATGTCTGTGTGTTTTTATATACCTGCGTGTCCATGTATGTCTGTGTGTATTTACCACTACCGTATGTATGTGATGTTCAACAACACGCACAGCTGGTGGAATGGTTTTAAACGAGACTGCCGAGTGACCCTGTTGAAATGTGTTCCATACGCCACACCACCTAATCCGGAATCCGGATATGCTGCGGTGATAGACCTTTATTTGCCAAGACCGAGAATCGCGGGCACGCTGCATGCAAGGGCGTTGTTATGTGGCCACTTTGGTATATCAAATATCACATTGTAATGGAGCGAGAGAAAAAAAAAACGTGTTTTAATCCCGTCCCCCCTCGTACACACGATTTCTTGGAGTTTGTAATAAAAACAATCCAAACTCTATGAACGTTGACAACATACATGACTCGGCGTTGCTGGTTTTGGAAAAAAAAAGAAGGGGGGGGGGGGGGGGGGGGGGGGGCCAATTTTT